TCTGACTGTGGTAGTGGAGTCAGGGAAAGATGCATTCAACCACGTCTCACAGACAAATATAATGTCGAATGTGGCTGTGTTTAGTAAGATGAGGAATTCATGCATTTTATTTGTGAGGCTTCTTGCATTGAGTAGTTTGCATTTAAGATATGAAGTAGTGGGTCTGGAGAAGTAAGGGGCATGCATCCCTAACGTTGATGTTTGGGTGATGGTTATTGGGATGTAGGTTGTGGCTCTTGCTTTTGATACAATCTGCACGGTAGTCAATGTATAGATTAGTATTATCTAAAATTTGATGAAGTAAGTCATTATTTATATAATTTCTATGGTATGAGCTCAATAAGGTTTACTTGACAATTGAGGGATCAAAGAGGAAATCTACTTCCTGCAATTTAGAAACGATATTTCTGTTAAAGCAGCTTAAAATTGTTTTTGCTTTCTGTTGTCTCAGTCTCTTGAACTACAATTCAATCCCCCCCCGCATTTAAAGTATTATTACTGGTCTAGGTATTTTATAATCCTATTCTGATGCATCTGAATTATCCTTGATTGCATGCAGTTGTATTAATATATGCTAAAATTTCATTTTCTGCTATTTCTGTACCCTATTAAATTTTTGTGAATTTGGTTTGTGTTTTTTAGATATCAATTATCCTACCCAGTCTTGAGATATCTGTAAGTTTGTTAAAACATCCTTCATATAAGTTATTTATTAAATCGTTGAAGAGTACAGGATTCACAACTGAATATGATGTGATGATGTGATAATTTGATGAATGATGATAATTCTTTGAGGATAATTTTCAAGTCAGCAGTGCACTCAATTAATCATCACGTAACCTATACATTAATATCCTGCTGCGCAGAATAAAATACTCTGTCAACTGCTTTGTAAAGAAAGAAAGCAAGATATACTAATTTCACAAAATTCCTACAGTCTACTAAGGAAGTTATCTAAAAATATTAGATAAGGCAAGTAATTGTTTTCAAAGTGTTTAATGATAAATCTTTTTATGATAACAATATTCACTCTTACATTTTTCAAACCATCGACATCAGAGTAACTGATCTATATTTATTTATTTATTTTATTTATTTTGTCAATCACTTACAAGATAATAGATATAAGTATAAACCTAATTATAAATACATGAAATGGATAGTATAAGAAAAATTAAAAAAACCCGATAGGACAGGGACAGTAGGCACTTGGTGCGTTTATGCACGCCCCCTACAGACCTCTTAGGAAAGGGGTGAGGTCAATAGTAGACAGTCTAAGGTTAAAGTTTTTGGGGTTTGGGGAAGAAACCACAGAGTCGAGTAGAGTATTCCAAACATTGACCACTCTGTTGCTGAAGTTGTATTTCCTGCAATCAAGTTTGGTGAGGTTTACCTTGAGTTTGTTTCTATTGTGTGCTCTTGTGTTGTTATGGTTGAAGCTGAAGTATTCATTGACCGGTAGGACATTGCAATGTATGATTTTATATACTATATTTAGATCAGACCGGAGGTGGCATAGTTCTAGGTTTTCTAGGTCTAGAATTTCAAGTCTGGTGGCATAAGGTATTCTGAAATGAGTAAAGGAGTGGAGAACTCTTCTTGTGAAATATTTCTGAACTTTCTCAATCTGGTGTTGGAAACTTAAACATATTGAAGAAATAAATGTTTTCACCCCATCTCAAACTTGCTCCAACATTTTGTTTTAAAAAAGTGCCTGATGGAACACATTCACTTTAAATACACATATATTAGCTACATATGCACATGTATTATCCACAGAGGTTGTTGATGTTATATTACTATTTATCTTTGTTATGTGCTTCAAAACGTTGCCTAAGAGCATGCAAAATGCTTCCTGGGATTTTCTGGTGTTTGTCCCGTAAATCTTCTATTGCCCTTTGAGCCTGTTGGAACAATGGAATGGCATGTGGTGAGATGGAATGGGGGCGGGGGAGCGGGAAGACGGAAAAATGGTTTAATTTATATTTATGGTTCAGGAACTATTGAGATAATATTCCAGAACTAAATATACAGTATATGGACTTTTTAATAGAGCATACTACATATTTAAACATATATACATATACATATATATATGTATGGCATTGAGCCATACATATATACATATATGTATACATATATATACATAAGAAAACAAATATGTATATGTATTACAAATATGTATTAGAGTCTTTAACATACATTTGAAAACCAATGTTATCTTATTTTCTCTTACGGCAAATATTTTTCTCTCTCTCTTCCTACTCATGCTATACCATTCATAATCAGATAAATCACATTTCCTATAAATCTGTAAATATATGGTGTACAAGAGATATGGTATTCAGTAGGTTCTGACCAGTTCTGGAGAAACAGTAGCAGAAATTTTAAGTAGTTCAGAGAACCAGCAAATGCCACCTCTGACTAGAGATTTTACAGCATCCTTCCCCTGCCACGCCCACTAAGCCACACCCACAGAACGGTGGTAAAAAAGTTTGAATCCCACCACTGGTGTACAGCCATCCTTTTGTATACTGTTACCAACAATAAATTCATATGGGTCAGAATAAAACCATGATAAATGGAGTTGAACATTTCCAGCAATGTCTAGTTAAAAAAATCCCTGCTTTGCACTGTGAAAACACAAACCTTCATCCCTTTCACTTTCTTAGAAATGCCCCTGCAGAACAGTTGGAATTATGTAGTACGGCTGGAGATGTTGTTCAAGCCTCTTCTACATACTCTTATCCTGACCTAGGCTAGACTGTCTGCTGCACACAGTAGTATAAATCAGAAGCAGAAAGCATGCTAATGCCTCTTATTTAATTTGCTCCTAATTGTAGTTTGTTGAATAAACCATAATTGGATGAATTGACCTTTTACTTGAAAATATAAACTTATTGGGTAAGAAGAGATTGAGCCTTTGGCCACTCCATGATGAAGCTTTAGGATGATATATATACTTGATGGATATTTTTATTTATGTATGCTGTTAATTTATTTCTTTATTTATTGAATTTATATTGTCACCTATTCACCCATGGCGACTCAAGGTGGCTTACAGAAGATAAAACCACATTTAAAACAATAAAAACTAACAAAAGACTCAAACAATACAGTACAATATAGCAAAATCAACCCCCACATCCCACCCACCCCACCCAGGTGATTACACAAACTATTTAATGGGCTCTATCCTGCTCTGGGTTCTCCAACGTAATCATATTGTATACTTTGAATAAGCTCTGTTTTAACAGTAAGGGATGGATGAATTATAATCTTACATTAACATATATGTACCACACACTCAACAATATTTCTGCACATCTAATTAATGTATTTTAATAACTGTTATTATAGTTATTATAGAGCTTAAGTAAAGATAAAAATTCCCCTCGCACATATGTGCTAGTCGTTTCTGGCTCTAGGGGGTGGTGCTCATCTCCGTTACAAAGTCAGTGCTGTCCAAAGATGTCTTCGTGGTCATGTGGCTGGCATGACTAAACACGAAAGGTGCACAGAATGCTGTTACCTTCCCACCAAAGTGATCCCTATTTTTCTACTTGCATTTTTTACATGGTTTAAAACTGCTAGGTTGGCAGAAGCTGGGACAAGTAACAGGAGCTTACTCCATTACACAGTGCTAGGGATTTGAACTGCTGAACTGCTGACCTTTCTGATTGACAAGCTCAGCATCTGAGCACTGAGCCACTGTGTCCCTTTTATAGAGCTTATAATTTCATAAAGAATGAAGTTTTATTTTGAATGGATATTTTCCACTTACAATAGAAATACACTTACCTTTTCAGCTAATTTTTCAGGAGTTATATCCGGATCATATGGAATTGGTTTTCCAATATGGGTTATAAGTTTAACTGGAAACATTCCACATACCGGAAAGATTAACCATCGGTTTCGCTCATATAACCATCTCATTGGTCCTGCGTACAAGTTTTAGAAAATCTCAGATACGCATATTAGCATATTGCCAAGAATTTCATATTTGACTTTGTTAGAAGCCTATATTTAAATGCAATAATTAATACCAGCACTGGAATCAACTAATGGAAAGATTTTCCAGTGTACAGATACAAGAAAATAAGCCATCCTGTTTGGAGCCTTACAGTTTGCAAAACACAATTTAGACTAAAAAGTTGTGAAAAAAATTAGAGTTAGGAGAAGCAAGCTAATCTTGACACATAAAGAGACCCACAAATACAAGTAACCTGACAAACAGCAGGCTGATAGCTGAGTAGACAAATAAACAGACAAGACAGGCAATATTTCCAGGAAAAATACCAATTCATTTACAGAATATGGATAACTTTGCTGAATTTCCATAATTTCTGATCATAATTTGTAATTCCATGACATTATGTCAGTTATGGGAATTGTATTAAATAACTTTTTTCCACCAAAGCTCTGAGTTCTGGAGTATGCATGTATGCATCAGTGGTGGGATTCAATATTTTTTACTACTGGTTCTGTAGATGTGGCTTGGTGGGCGTGCCAGGAGAAGGATACTGTAAAATCTCCAGAGGTGAAATCTCCAGGTTTGTCGGTTCTCTGAACTAATCAAAATTTCCGCTACCGGTTCTCCAGAACTGGTCAGAACCTGCTGAATACCACCTCTGGTATGCATGTATATGTACAGTATATGTGTATGTATATCTGTACATTTGTATGTCCATATCTGTATATCTATAGAGATAGATAGATATAAATATAGGTAGATATCCGAAGAGAGAGGATATATCGTCTTTTCTCATTCTAGAAGAAAACTCATATGTACCACCTCTTAAACAGTTTTCCTAACAATAAAATGAAAATAATCCCAAATTAATCTACCTCAATTATATTTCTATTTTACTTAGAACCCAGATTTAGCTATTCTTACTTGAATCATTCAAATTAAGCATGGTAAGCGAAGATGCCCATGTACAAATTTATAGCATTAAATAAATAACATTCTCAAAAATACATGAAGTTTTACTTACTTGTATCTGCATATGTCATATATCCTTCTCTAATATTTTGTGTAAACAAAGGAATGATTGGCTAGAAGAAATAAAACAAAGAAATAATGAAATTCTTTTAGTTACAGTACATGAAAGGAATGAAATGTATTGGTTGGACATAAAATACACCAATTGATTGCTTGCCTTAGTTGTGGCTTCCGCCATGAAGAATGAGTATGTGCACGTGCTCTCATTTTTATATATTGTCATAAATCAAGGTATAATGCATATTTTATCTAGAAACGTATACCTTGTATTTTGGATTTTTTAAAAAAATTCCCCACAGTCACATTCAAGATCCATGGATAGTTAGATGCACCAGACAGAGCAGGGATTGGCAGGTAGATGGTGATTTCTGGCAAGTGAAATTTCTCCAGAAAAAGGAAAGATCATGAGATTACTCACTTGCACTCCAAACAGTTGCTTCTTGTAAACAGACTGTAGGAACTGAGATTTTTGTGGTTGGCTAAAGTGTTTGAGAGATACAGCTAAATAGAGATTTTTTGAGTGGCAAAATAAAAATTCAATTGGTAAATTATTATGTTGTTGGGATTACAAAGGATTAAGAGGAGCAAAACCTTTTTAAGACTTACATTTTTGGGGGCAAAAGTTTAATAAGCAGTCCATATGAGAAAGTTTAAAATGGATAAAGGGGACAGGTATGGTATTTTGTAAGTTTTTTGTGGGGGGAGGGAATGCTTGTGAACAAATTGGAATTAAATTAGATTAATGACTTAGACCTTTGGGAGAAGGTGATGATTCAGAGGCAGAAATTTTCCAATGAGGTGGATATTAACTAAAATTTCCATTTTTTTCTGCATTGCAGGTGCATTAGGGTTGAAAAGGTAGCTAGACGTAAGATCTGGACAACCAAAACTCTGTCGAGATCTCTGTCGAATCGAGATCTGGAGTTTGCCCATATGTACACCATAAAACTACTTTGGGGGCAGAAATTGTCATTTTTGTAGCTACTTGCAATCAACTGGGAAGGTTCCGTAGTGACTTGAACTGTAATGTAGCCTTTAAGGGTCTTCGAGGTTTGATAAAACCTCTTCTTTTTAATCATTTTGGAGTTTTACTGTTTATTGTTTCCAGGGGTGGATTCAAATTTCTTAACAACCGGTTTTGTGGGCATGGCCTAATCTGTGGTTGTGGCTTGGTTATCATGTGACTGAATGGGTGTGGCTTGCTTGGTGGGCATGGCTTGGTGGTCATGTGACTGGCTGGGCATGGCTTGTATGTAAATATTATAAATATTTATGTAAATATTGATTTTTTTTATAAAAAAGAGCAACTTTTACCTAAAATCAGGCAAAGCAAGCAGATTGAGTTGCTCACAGAATCACAGATTCACTTAGAGATCTATGATTCTGCAATCTTCTACCTGAGTCTGCACTGAAAAATAGAAGCTTCAGTCCTAAGGAATGTTCAGCTCCGCTTTTAGATTAGCTAGAAAGCAAGAAATCCAACTATTTCTTGCTTTCTAGCTAAACTAAATCTCCCGGCACAGAAGAACAGCTGATGGTTGGGGGGGGATGGAGACAAATAGCAACTTACCAAATGCAGGGAAATTTGATGGCACATGCCAGGTAAGGAGTAAGTGGGTGGGGAGTGGAGGGGTGAGGTCAGCAAGCTGTGCGATTTGCCAGTTCTCCGAACTGGGCAGAATCATAACAATTCTATAGAACCGGACTGACCAGGTAGAATCCCATCCCGATTGAAAATCCTTCAGCACTTTAAGTTTACAATTTGCTGAATGAGTTAATCTTTAATCAATTTAAAAAGAAAAAAAATATTTCTTTCCAGCTTTATGAGATCTTTATTTGTTTGCATTTTTTCAAGTTGTGATTTTAGAGCCTTTTTGGAAAGTTTTTAAAATGTAAATATAGTAAATATAAATGTAAATATAGTGGCTAGGATTTTGGTGCCATTGAAGTCGATGCTAGCACCAAAACCAAAACCCTAGCCACTTTAGAAAACCCCAGCTACAGAATTATCAGAGAAGCCATAGAGATTGAAAAAAGACCTGAAAGCATGAATAGAAAAGATGACTCCACCAGACTATCAAGCATCTGGAAGCCTGCACTCACATACAAAAAAATCTCCACACCACAAGCCAGGCAAACACATGGCCACAGACAGATCCCCCCTGATACCTCCAGCTCAAACACACCCCAACCAGGCACCCAGATGAAACCTAGCTTCCTAACTAATGATAGCCGTCCATTTACCTGGAGCCAAGCTGCACTAAAGGCCTCCAATAAAGTAACACAATGTTGCCAGCCAATCAAGATACAAAAAGAGCCAAAAACCAGACAGAAGATATTAGAAACACCAATCAAGCAGAACACAGCAAACTCCAAGACCAATAAACACAGACCAAGACTCCCAACCAATCAGGACAAAGAAAAAATTCTGGCACAGCAATAGGCTGCCCCAAATTTAAATCTGAAACCACTGTAAAAGTCTGACTCACAGATGAACATTATACAGAAGCCTGATGATGGCAGATGAGATTCTGCCGAAACGTTGCTACAACTTTAAAAGCACAATTACAATGACATGGGAAAATACCCGAACAAAGCTGAATGCTATCTATCTATCTATCTATCTATCTATCTATCTATCTATCTATCTATCTATCTATCTATCTATCTATCCATCCATCCATCCATCCATCCATCCATCCATCCATCCATCCATCCATCCATCCCTATCTATCATCTATCTATCTATCTATCTATCTATCTATCTATCTATCTATCTATCTATCTATCT